TTTCTTCTCCTCTCTCTCTCTCTCTCTCTCTCTCTCTCTCTCACACACACACACACACACACACACACATTTTGATGCATCAATCACAGTGAAATTCAGGTTATGTAATGGTTCAAATTGGGGTTGTTTAAAGGACAAAGATAAAATTCAGCTCTCTCTTTCTCTCTCTACATTTTTATGCATCAGTGCATTTAATGGAATTTGGGTTATGTGGTGAGTCAAAGAGGTATTTTCTAAAGGACTTAGACAAAGTTCAGGAATATGGAAACTGCTTTATTTTCTCTCTCTCTATCTCCGCTTTCCTTTTATTCTGTTATCCTTTCTCTTTTTCTTTAATCTGTAGTTGGGTTTCTTATTTTTTCCTTTTTTTTTTTCCTCCGGGATCTGAACTTTAGCTGAAATATGTCGGTTCCTTTCATGGTTTATGTTTAATTTTCAGTTACTTTATATAAAGGTGATTGCAGAAGCTGTCTAATATAAAAGAAAACAATTCCATCAATAATGCTTTGAACTGTTTGAATGAGGATTATTTTTAGAGAGAGAAAAGATTGATTTTCCAAAGTTAAATAAAATAAGGGGACCACCGAGCAAGAGTGATGGAATTAAGAATAGAGAGAGAGAGAGAGTTTGACAGTGATTGAGAGATTAACCAGAACTATAATACGAGATAAGATTCAAACAAAAAAAAACAGAGAGAGGGAGTGTGGGAATGGGGGTGGGATCTTAGTTTCAGGAGAAAATAATCAAATATTATATCGTGATTGTTTTGTGCTGAAATATTCGGTAAACAGTTTCCTCGTGGTTCTGTTCTTTACCCGTGCACACAGGATTTTCATGGTTTGATGGAGTCTTTGGCAATTATAGAATGGACCGTATTTTATTCGATTTATACTATACCCACCCTAATGTTATATTTTTTGTTTTTTTTAGATACGGCAAGGGTGGCAATGGACCCGACCCCAACCGGGACCCAAGAGGTATGGGTCTAAAAATTGGACTCGGCGGGTTGGGTCCAGGTCCAAATTTTGAACCTTAACACTATTTAGCAGGAGAAAGGACAAATGATGGAAGTAACGAAAATAAATATAATGATTTATGATCTGATTGATGTATGACCCTTGATAAAATAAAATATTATAATAGGCTCGTGCAACCTCTCTCAAATAGTATCGATAAAGCTCGGATGATGATGATGGCTATGGAATCCTTTTATTTGATGAGTATTTGAGTTCTTAAACACCTAATCTGACCGTGCAAAAACTAGATGATCTCCATTGACTATTAGGACAATATTTTTCAGGGAAATATAAGGTACAAAATTTTTATTTTCTTTTCTGAGGTTTCTCTTGTTAGATATGGTAATATCCAAAATCGCGCACATCAGGAAATCACATATTATGTGGAATTAAGAATGATATTGGGATTTAATATTTCATAAATTTTCAAAAGAAAATAGAAATCCAAAAGATTAAGACTCTTGAGTATATGTCTCTTGGTATTTGATAAACATGTAACATCTATAAGAATTTTCCTACTTAGTGTCGATCCCTAGCTTCAAATATATGGGTTGAGAGATGAAAAAATATAGGGCCCTCCTAATAGAGAGAAGAGAGCTTTACATGGAGAGAAATATTACGATGTGCCTCTTACAAAGTGAGAGACTGTTCTCTTTTTACAGAGAAAAAATCTAAGTCTTAAGGTTCTCTTCGTAGACAGTAATTTAGTAGTGGAATATAGATTTTTTCTTGGACAATAGTTGAGTTGTGGAATAGATATGAGAGATCGGCTGGTGATACCAGTAGAGAAATAGATATGAGATATCGGCAGGTGACACGATTGGGGAGAGCAAGTCTAAAAAAGTTTGCTTAGTTTTATTTCAAGATTCTCTTTGTCGATAGTGGTTTAGCTGTGGAATAGATATATGTCTCTTCTTGGACATTAGTTCAGTTGTGAAATATATATGAGAGATCAGCAAGTGATACCAATAAGTAGGGAGAACAGCTCTAAAAGCGTTTGATTCGGTTTTGTTGAAGATTAAAAAAAGTAACTCCATATCAAAATTTGTGATGTAACTTTTATTAGTATAGTGGATTTCAGTTTGTGATGCCCACAGATGCAACCATTTTACAGTGAACCGCATAAATCTTTATGTTCTTTTGGTGCATGTATTTTTACTTTATTTCTCGTATTATGGTTTGTTCTCTCGCTTATTTTGTTTCTAGCCAGTTAAGTACACAATTCTGCCAACTTTTTAATATTCATGTTTGTGTATCTCTTTTTTTAAAAAAAGATGTTGATCATGTTTATATATGTGGAAGGGTCTTTAAAACAACTCTAAGGGTTGAGGACATTTCATTTGGATTCTAAAAAGGTTAAGGTTCTCGTCAACATCATGTGAACGGGTGGAAGGGTGCACACCCTTCCAATGGTTGAGATCACATATGGCAATATCCAACGGCCAAAAATTAGTCCCCTTGTTTATTTTTTATTTTTTATTTAAATAAAATGCTTATCTAAAATTTGGTGTGTTGCTGTATTTTTATAAATATAATTTTAAATAAAAAAATACCAAATACCTCGAAATTTAGTTTGGTCAATATTTGTTATTCAAATTTATTTAGTAATTTTATTCAATATTACTTATAAAAATGAACCTAAAACTAAAATTTTCGATTAATATCATTTTTTAAAAAAATAAAAATACGATATTCTAAACCATTAAAACACGATTTAAGCATCCCATGCTGTGGGTGCAATGATAAAACAAGTAAATTACCTGCACTATGTGCCCCATAGCAAAGCATTATAGATTATTTATTTGTTTTATTTTCATTCTTTTAAATTACTCAGCATGAAGATAATACCAAACTTGGTAGTCTAAAAGCATTCTTGAAAACGTAGATATGAGATCCTAAAACAAGACTATGAAGAAACCCCAAAATATATTGGGTTTTGGAGATAATGGTGAAAAACACAGAGAGATTAGGTTCAAAAGAAATCTAAAGAATTGGAATTAGTCAAATTCAAGTTTGTAAAAAATTTTGGTTTCATAAATTTCAGCCAAGTGGATCATAGGGACAAGCATTTGTCTTGTAAGACAAACACAAACTAGAAGCATACTACCCAAGAAAAAACAGTTACATGTGGTCTAGTTATTATTAGATACTCGTTATTATTAAATATGAAATTTATCAAAATACTTATAAGACATGAATAACTTAACATCTTATCTATATTGTTTCATTTAATTTTAAAATACCAATAAAAAAACATTGATCTTGAATTAGAATAGTTGCAAATGGACAAAATGTCAAATAATCTTTCTTATGGGTAATTTGTTAAATTCCTCTTCTTATGTTGTAAGGAAAAGTAGGTGCAGACCTATTAATGAATAGTAAATGATACATTAGAGGGCATCACCATCCATTTTTTGAAATAATTAAATAATAAAAAATTAAGATTATCAATGTGGGTATTATCTTAGGCTCCATCTGTGTTTAACAACTCCACGAAGCAAGAGAGTTATTTATTAGGGATTATCTATAAAGAGATTATTTATCTTTTGTACATAGAGATCGCAATCATTCCAACTCATTCGATGTCACTGGATGGCTTTGGGTGAGTCATGAAGTTTGAGATTATTTTTTTTTGGAACTTTGTGGCTATTCAATACTCTTACAACCACCCATTTTGAAATTTAGGAGACAAGAATAATTGTGACATCCATGTACAAAAGATAAATGGTCTCTTTGTAGATAAATGCTCCGAAAACCAATTTATTTTTTTGCCAATATTAATTAAAGCGTATGGCATATTCTTGTGGGAGCATTTTGTACAACAACTATCTCAGGCAAAATAGTAACTAAGGAGATTTTTTTTTTTTTGTATTGGAAATTTTGGGCTAAGTATCATCAATTGGATTTTCAACTTCTTGATCATCTAGATCTTGCCCTCCGAGAATTGGATGGTTTATGAAGAACCCTATTTGTCATTTTTTTTTTCTTTGAGAAAGGTTGTTAGGTTTTAAAGGCTACATCTTTACAACTAGGGATACAAAAGACATTCCTAGTTTTGCCCTGAGGAATCAAATGCATAGTATGGTCCCATAGGAAGAGCAAATCATTTCACTTGATGAATAATTTAGTGATTGTCCTTGTGGACGTGACTTTCCGCTCCACTTACATGACTCAACAACTCCACTAAGTAAGGGGTTATGGTGGAAAAATAGTTTTCTTTTCTTGTTTTTTTTTTTCTCGAAAAGAAGTTTTGGTGTTGGTGAAGGGAAATAATAGGCTTCTTCCAAAGTTTGTCCCACCAAACAGGGCCCTAAGCTTGCCTTCTAATGGCTAGAACAAAAAGTGAGGGTCCCATGCACCATTAGTGCAAGCAGGGAGGTTCACCAGGACTGGACTTTTCATTTAGTCGGCTTCTAAGCAATGTATCTTCCAAATTGTCGGACTCTTTTGTTTGTAACTCGAAATTGGAATTATTGCTACTCTCTTTCAAATTCTCCACCGATCGCCAAAACTGATTTCGCCCAAAAATAACCTTCAAAACATGAACCGCCGCGAGCGACATTGATAGTTTTGGAATGGATTGTCATTTCATGCATTTTTAGTTACTATTTATTGTTCTTATTTATAGGTTGTAATAGACAATCCAGATTGTGCTTTAGTTAGAGTTATTAGTACAGGAAAAGTTATAATAATACAAGGAGGATTGGCACTTTTTTTAATTCATTTCTTATGGTTTTTTGGTTTATCCATATGTACCACTTACAGCTTCTTTTAACTATGGGAAAGTATAGAATGACACCATCTACTTTTTGGTACAAGGTGGTCACATTAATTTTGACCATCGGATGTAAAATTAGGTGGTTGCAATTATTTTAGAAAAAATTTCATATAAAACCCTAATTCTTCATATTGTTTCGTGGTAGACCCTCTTTCTGTTTTTCTTTTTAAGCGGCATAAGGAAACTCTTAAATATTTCACTGTACCCCCTCATCTCCTAATGAGGGGGTATGGTGAAACCTTTAAGAGTTTCCTTACGCCACTTGAAATAAAAATGGAATGAGGGCCTACCGTGAAATAATATGAAGAATTAGGGTTCTATACGAAATTTTCCCATTATTCTATTGACCAAGTTCAAACTTCAAAAGAAGTTTTTTCGAACTTTGTGACACATCCAAGTTATCAAATTTTATGTCAGATAGTTGTTAATAATTGCAACCACCTTGTAACAAACCTTTTTACTATTTCAACCAATGCAATACATTGTTTTTTTTGGCCATTCCTTGTACTCTTATCCCCCATCATATTTGTGAAAGTTTCCGGATATTGTTAGGTATTGAGTTGTTTTTCTCACCCCACTGATTTGATACCTAATCCAAATGCCAATAAAATGGTCAAACTATTTTTCTGGTTCGGCTGTTATCCAAAAACCATACAGTTTTTTTTTTTTTTTTAATTATGAAAAAGCAGAAATAGAAGGTTGGACATCATGTTGAGACATCCGCTCACCTAACCACCAATGCTCCAAGCCCATTCCCTCTGGACACTATACAATTAGCATAGCTTGATAGAAAGACACCACCATGAACCAAGGCACGAGTAAGAGAGACCATCGTGAAACTAGGCGAGAGAGAGAGAGAGAGAGAATGAACTAGGACATCTTGCAATTTATAACATTGTTCGAGAGAAAGTTTCTCAAATAATTACCAGGGCCGGGTTTTTAGCTCAATGCACCTAGTCCACTTTCAAAAATCTATGATCAACATGACTTTTGAGCTTAACCAAATTTATTTCAAAAAATTGAATTTTCAGCTTTAAGAATGATCTATCTTGTACAATCTTTTCGACTGTTCACATCAACGCATCAAAGATCATATGATCTGCATTGTTTTGGAATTCCAAATCAATATTTCAAAATGCAAACTTAGGCTTGAACTTTCCAAGTCTTGAGCGTGAATTGGGATTGTAGATTATGAGATTATTTATCTTTGTTACAAGAATATTACAATTTGCTACTAGTCATTAGATGTCAAATTGGATAGTTTAGGGTGTGTCACAAAGTTCGAGAAATTTATTTTAAACTTTGAGTCTAATAAATGACACTCTTACAATCACCTGATTTGAAATATGACAGACAAGAATGGTTATGACGGCCTTGTATTAAAGATAAATGGTTTTTTTGTATATTTTCCCCTTGAGTTATTAAGGTTGGTCAGTTATTTGGACTTAGTATCCTTGTTGATTTGAGTCATTCAAGTGATTCCGAGCCTGAATCAGTTTACAAACTAAATATTGATAAAAGAGTTTAGAAAACGTTAAAATTCAGAAAAATTCAATAAGGTATGTCTGCTTGATTTGGATAAGGATTTAGGATCTGAAACACATCTCAATTCACTCTAGCTGCATTTCCACTTTAGTTCCATGATTTTAGTTCAAAATAATGGAGATTTGATGATCTATGGAAACTTAACATGGAACGGTTAAAAAATAAAGTTTAAAATGACCTACTTTTTAAGGTTCAAAATTTAGCTTTGTTTACAAATTCATGATCATATGAAAAATTTGTAATTTTTATATTTTTGCAATTTAAATTCATGATATTGACTTGCGAAATTTTAGGTCCAAAATTCATCTATGTGAATTTATGCAAGATAATGCACTAATTCCTTCCTATTTCTATTTTCAAAAATGAAAAATTTCTAGTGACTTTTTATTCGAATGTGATCTCTTTATAAAAATTCATCGGAGCAAAAATTTCATACATTGATCACGATCACCATGGTGATGATGAAAAAAATAGAATTTAACCCTTAAAAATAAGTTACTTTAAAGGAAAAAGGTCATAAGGTGTCAATATTATAATGTAGAAGAAAAGTGCACCTCAAAGACGTACCAAAAACATATCCAACCATCTTAACTTATTAAAAAAAAAATAAAATTAATTTCAAGTTTTAAAAATAATATATTTTGTAGCACATTGTTTGTTTGGACGGTCTATTTCTACATTTTTAAATATTTGTAGATTTTCTTGATCTGCATCACTTATTGGACTTTTAATTTTACATTTAGAAATAAAAGCAATTTTTTAGGTCATCTCAGAGTTTTTAAGTACTAATTAAAACTGTCTTTTACCATAATTATGAGTGATGCCTTACTTCGACATTTAGAGTTGAGACCTTATATAAACAACATCCTATTTTAAAAGAAATTAACAGCCCAAAAATAGTTTTTTTTTTTTTTAAAATCATATGATCTATTTTTTTAATATTTATGGATGAGATTTCTATAAAGCATAGGCTTTATAAAAATAAATAAAGCCTCATCTCAAATCTTTGTATAAAAAACATCATTGGCATCAGAAATCTTCATACTCTAAAATCAATTTTCATCATCAACAATAAAATTTGAAATTAAAAAAATACAAATCTTACCGATCTATAAATATTTATTTATTTTTTTAAAATAGACAATCTAAATAAATTATTATAATATACCCTAGAATTTTTTTTTTTTGGAAAACCATTATGTTCAAGCGGAGTGATGTAAAGATTTGCTTAGAATTGCAATTTTCGGTGAATTATGAGGTGAGGCTTTAGTTGTTTTAATAGGGCTGCAGCCCTATCAAACCATTTTCGGTAACCAAATCATGTTGAGTCCTTTCTTGGTTTTTCTATGCTCTCCATTGCATGGCGTCTCTGCAATAAAGGGTTTAAATGCTCATAACCCATGTTCGATTGTCTCAGGCCTCTTTGATCTAATCCTTAGATCTGCATCTATTGAAAACCTTCGTATTTCCGGATCTATAGCTCCAAGACTTTGGCTTTGGAGAGTTTGGAGATCTGCATATTGATGCTATCTGGTTTTTCTTTCTTTCGAGATCTGTAGCTTAACACAACCATTTTTCTACGATTTTGGGAGATCTGGAGCTGAAAACATCTGGTTTTCTTGGGTTTCGATTATGTGTAGCTGAAAGCTTCTAGTTTCTAAGATCTAAATCCTTGCACCTGAAGCTTGCTTTTTTATCTAAGGTTTCCATATCCAACAGTGGAAAACTCCTGGTTTCTTTAGGGTTCCAAGGATCTCTCCTGAAAACCTCTGTAATTTCAAAAAGTGCTCTGTTTTCCAAGGGTTTCCGCTTTCACAACTGAAAACCTTTGTTTTTATTGTGATTCAAGGTCTAGTATTAGCAAACCCTGGTTTTTCTAGGTTTTGCTGATATTTCAGGATGTGGAGATTGAAGCAATTCATGCCAAAAGAACCTTTGGGTCTGGAGGGTCGAAGCATTGATATTGGGAACCTGAAGGTCCAGGTTCGGAACACCATTGCTGAAGGTGGATTCTCGAGTGTTTACCTTGTTCGAGATGTTGGCCCTTCAGGAAAGCAGTTCGCCATGAAACACATCTTCTGCAACGATGAAGAGACTCTCGATCTGGTAAAGAAGGAGTTCTCTGTGATGAAATCGCTAAAGGGTCACCCAAATGTTGTGGCTTTGCAGGCCCATACAATCTTAGACATGGGGCGCACAAAGGAGGCATTTTTGGTGATGGAATTTTGCGAGAAATCATTGGTCACTGTTTTGGAGAACAGGGGTGCTGCCTATTTTGAAGAGAAGCAGATCCTACTGATATTTAGGGATGTCTGCAATGCCGTATTTGCAATGCACTGCCAAAACCCAGCTATTGCTCATAGGTAATTGTTTCTGATGCTGGGTGTTTGAATTATGTGCGAGATATTGAGTTTATTTTTTACAGGATAACTTTTGTGAATCAAGATATTTGTAATTAGTCAAATATAAAGTTACATTTGCCACTGCCAGAAGTATTGGATGAATGTTTAAACAAGAAAAAAACCAATTTTTGGACCATATTCATGCTAGAACTGGAAAGAAAACCGATAAGAAACTATTATGGAGTATGAATCTATGTCTGAGACAAAGATCCATAATTTAATAAATAAAAATGTTTCCATGGAAAATGGTAAAAATTGGAATATATTTGCTCAAGAAGTTGCAAACAGTATAAACTCTACATATACATGGTACAACAGAACAGATGTAGGATAGGATGCATGTGCATCTGGAGAAGGTTTCAAAGGACTAGGATCCATACCACCAAAGGTGGTGTTGCTCTTCATAGCCCTCTCTTTGGGATTATTTAGGGAGGCCACATCAGAATTGAGCTTCAAGGATGTCCCTTTGGAAGTTTATGCCACTAAACCTTGGGCTTGCATCATGATTCTACTATGGTCATGTGAGTCTTTATTGATTAGAGCCCATGAAATGATGAAGGCCTCATATGTTCTCATAGCATCTCACCTCTAGAATATGCACCTTGAGTATTCTTGCATCCCCTTCACAATCCCATAACATGGCCAGCAGTCAATTCTTTCAAAATGTGCTTCCTGTTGGGATGCCTTTGTCAAATGGGTGTTAACTTTCCCAAGGGCATCACAAGCACCAGAGAATTCTCGGATTAACATGTCTCATGTTTCTCACAAAAGCACTGGAAAAGGTAGTCAATTATTTTTCCAACTTCCTTACACGATTTCTGGAAAGTTAGAAACTGAAGGCTATGGTGCTGGAGATGGTCTTTTGGAAATCCCTTTTCAGGTATAGCCAGTGAGCCAAAAGTGACGCTTTGGAGGGGTTTGACACCCTACAAGATGTTTGGTGGTGTTCATAAGTTCCCACATTGAGGCAATGGCAAACAGTTGACGGAAAAGAACCCTTGCACTATCGTACATGTTGATCCTCTTACCGTGATGGATGCCTCCTTGCCTATCCCCAACAAGCTACCCAACTTGACATTTGACAACTTATTTTTCCCTTAGGTCTCTCTGATTCCATGGACACACCACACTGATCAACCTCATATTTCTATAAAATTTAAGAGAAGAGACAATACCATCACCCAGCTAATAGTGGATGGTGCTGTCCTTGACCAACCCCCCTTGATGGAGAAAGCCATCATTGACTTATTCACACAACTCTTCAAATTCCCTACCAAACCATCGCCAAAAATGGTTGTTCTCTCCCTCCTGTCCATCTCTCCATACAAAGCCCTCTGGCTGGAACGTCCTTTCTCCGAAGACGAAATCCTCAAAGCCATCTCAAAGCTTGGACCGGATCGAGCCCAGGACCCAATGGATTTCCCATAGGACTTTCCAAAATTACCCTATGGATTCCCCATAGGACTTTCCAAAATTGCCCAATGGATTCCCCATAGCCCTTTCCAAAAAAAGTTGGGAACCCCTTCGACCTAACATACTCTCATTATTTGAGGAGTTCTATGAGAGAGGGGTTATTAACAAAGGAATGAATGCCACCTTCATTGATATTATCCCCAAAGTGGAAGGGGCAGAAGAACTTAGGGACATCATACCGATAAGCCTAATCAACAGTTCCTACAAAATTTTGGCCAAGGTCTTGGCCTCCAGACTCTAAGAGGTGCTAGGTGTATCCCCCTGCCCCCCATCAAGGGGCATTTGAGAAAGACTGCCAAACCCTAGATGGAGCCCCCGTTGCACATGAGTGTATGCACTCTAGAACCAAATCCAAAACCCCATAAAATTCAAGAAGGAAATGGCCTGCAATCACGTTGACTGGGTGGTCCTGGATCAAACTCTCCACCGCATGGGCGTTGGTAGTCGTTGGTGAAATTGGATTCGGGGTTGCATCTCCAACCCCTTTTTTTCCTTCCTCACCAATGGAATCCCAAAGGGCTTCTTCCCCTCCTCTAGGGGCCTTTGTCAAGGGGAACCCCGGTCTCCCTTTCTCTTCACCATTGTGGCTGAGGCGTGTAGTAGGTTTGTGGCCAGAATGTACCAGCATGGCCTCTTGAAGGGCTTCAAAATTAGCAATGGAGGCCCCTGTGATCTCACAGTTGCAATACTTTGATGACACCCTACTCTTCTATGGGGCCTCCGAGCAGCAGGTCGATTCACTCCTCTTCCTCAAGTGCTTTGAGTTAGCCACTGGTTTTAGGGTGAACATGGCCAAATCGAAAATGATAGGCATTGCCCTTGAACCACAAGCCACCTAGAATCTAGCTGACATGTGGGGCCGTGCAGTTTACACCCTACCGTCTACCTACTTGGGCCTCCCTCTTTGCCATGTTAAGTCTAAACTTAGGCAATGGGAGCACTTTGACTGCAAATTAGCCACCCGGAAAGGGAGATCCTATCCCCAGCAGGTAGTGTAACCCTCATTAAGCCCACCCTGTCCAATGTCCCTCTTCCACATGCCCGGCCCCCGTTGCCTCTCACCTCAAACTACTTATGCTCAACTTTATGTGGTTTGGGTTCCACACTCTCAAACATAACAACTTGGCCTTGTTGGGCGAATGGTGGTGGCGTTTGACTACCCAGGAGGGTCATCTGTGGCAAACTGTGCTGTGCCACAAATAAAGTCTACTCTAACCCCTCTAGTTGCCCCACAACACGGCCTTCAACTCACCCTCAAGAGCTTGGAGATCATTTATGCACTGCTTACACCCATTTAATGCCAACATTCATTTCCGTGTGAGGGCAAGCAGAATTAGCTTATGGTTTGACCTTTAGACAGGATATACCCCCGGAAGATTTCTTTCGTAATCTCTTCTACCCGGCCAAAGACACCAACACCTCGGTTGCAGTTCTTCTTCGACTCATAGGCATCACTCGTTCCTGGAATCCAAACTTTAATCACATCTCCGCGACAGAGAGGTCACTGCCTTCCTTGAACTCTCTCCCCATGGTGACGACAAAATCATAGGGTCCTTGACTGTGGATGGTACATTCCCAGTATTCGTGATTCTACCATAAACTCCCCCCCCCCCTCCATTGTTGCCAAAGCTTGGCGTTGCTTCATCCCTCCCAAAATCCAGGTCTTCAATTGGATCGGCCTTGTCAGAGCAGGTCTTGACAGTCGACCAACTACAAAAACGGGGTAAGATCATTCCTAACCACTGCATGATATGCACTTTTGATGAAGAAACAAACTCTCACCTCTTCATCCACTGCAGCTTAGCCACCAAATTGTTGAAAGACCTACTCCTACTATTTAACTGATCCTGGGTTACCTTGCTCTGGAAGGCCTCAATAGCGGCTACTTTGTGGGCCATTTGGATATAGTGTAACAATTGCATCTTCCGAGGCCGCATTACCCCTTTCAATGCCTTGAGGGACAGCATCAAGTCCATGGTAAATTTTTGGACCTCGAACCATTGCTGCTTCAACACTTATCAGCCTCGGGCTTCCACCTTAATTGGCAGTCACTCTTCTCTCTCAGGCCAACTGCCATCCCTCGAGCATCCCTTTGGCGACCCCTGGAACTAGGCAAAACCAAACTTAAATTCGACGGATGCTCGCTTGGCAACCCAGGACCGGCTGGCCTTGGAGGCATCTTTAGAAAGCACGATGGCCTCTCCTTTTTCTCATTCGCCAAAACACATCAGCCGAGCTGACTCCACTACGGCAGAAGCTCTCACCCTCCTGGAAGGTCTAAAAAATTTTAATCCTCATTGAAGCACTGAACTGGTCGTGGAAGGAGTCTCTAGAAACATCATCTTGTGGGCCTTGGGGGATGCCATACCCCCTTGGAGACCCGCTCATTTTGAGGAAATCTTTTACCTATGCGGGCATATTCACGTCTCATGGATGCATACTTGGCGAGAGTCGAACCACGCAGCTGAGGCTCTCGCTAGGGAAGGAGCTGCTATGGCAGGAGCTTAGAGTTCTCCGGTTTTTGGGTTCTTGGTCTTAATTTCTGTAATCAATTTGATGCACATAATTTTTTGATTCCTACCACTCCCGACTTGTGGGCAGCCTATTTTTTGACAGCTTGTACAACCTTACTTTATACAATATAAAAGTGGACACTTTAAAAAAAAGCATATGGCATAAGATAAGATTCTCAATAAATTTCAACTAGTAAATCTTTATTATCTAAATAATGAGGAAATTCTTTTCCAATAAACCAGATGATGAATAGATTAATCATTGTAGTTATATATTAAAAAGATTAACTTAGTAGCCGTATAGCTAAAATCAATGATGAAGGAGTTCATAATAGTATAGCTTACAGAATTAGCGAGAAACCTCTTCTTTGTATATTGGTAAATGGTAACAATTTAACACAAACTTTTAAGTGCCTTCTTAAATTGATCATTAGTTCTGCCTTCTGAGTTTAATGTTTGCATATTTTGAACATAAGTAGTGATTTTGGAATGGTGGGATTTGGGAGATACATATGAAGGACATGCATGACAGTGCATTGTCATTGTGGGTCTAGCACAGGATCGGCTTTTGACGCATGGATCGTTTTCCGTTTTAGACTGCTAAATGTAGGTGTAAATTGTGGATGTTCAATGCGTTAACCATAATTAATCACCAATTTTTTATGCTGAGCCTATAAATATCCAAATTGCTTCAGATCAACAGTTAGGTGAACCATTTAAATTGGATTTTTTTAATTGGTTATTAAATCAATTAATGGATTCACTTTGTGATTACGTTCAATGTATTCCTCTCCAGTGATAATAAGAAAGAAATATACAGGTACACTTTCAAGTTTCAAATTTTTGGAATATTTGGATTTTGGAACTAGTGATTGCTATTGAATTACTGATATCCAGGCTTCTAGTAATGGGAGATGGAATCACCATATTTATTATTAGAAAAAGAATCGCTGGTTTCAATTGAAAATACCAGACAATCATCCAAAAAAGTTCCAGTTAAGTGTTTCACATGCATTTTAACCTTGTCGATGTGTAACATCATTTGAGTGCGTATTTTTTATATTTGTAGACTAGTTTCTCTTGATTTCTAAGTACACGTGTCTTGCTTTCTTATGCTTCAAAACTTTGTTTAGGGATTTGAAAGCTGAGAACGTCTTGTTGAGTGCTGATGGAACCTGGAAACTGTGTGATTTCGGTAGCGCTTCAACCAATCATAAACGATTTGAGAGACCTGAGGAGATGGGTATTGAAGAAGACAACATACGGAAGCATACTACCCCAGCATACAGAGCGCCTGAGGTTCATTCAAGAACTTCAGTTTTTCCCTTGCTTTGATAGACGGTGAAGGAACTGTTTACTTATCTTTTGTAGTTTTTCATTCTTCCTAGATGTGGGATCTGTTCAGAAGAGAAGTTATCAATGAGAAGGTTGACATCTGGGTATGTCACTGCTATGTCATTTTATTGTCTTTTTTAGACATTTCTTGCTGAAGCTTGATATTTTAATTTCTGAGTATTACTAGTATTATTTTTATCTGACTTGCAACCACGTAAAGATCACCAGACTTGCATATATGTGTTACACATATCTACCTTTGATAAGAGAGATTCATAGAAACTTCTATTTTGAAAGGAACAAAGTACATTATGAGTGAACAAAAAATACATTCATCTCTTTATCTCTGAATACAAATCTCCATCGAATTGTATGCAGGCTCTTGGATGCCTTCTGTACAGAATCTGTTATCTCAAGTCCGCGTTTGATGGTGAATCAAAGCTACAAATTCTGAATGGGAATTATCGTATCCCAGAGCTGCCAAAGTATAGTTCAGCCATAACTGGCTTGATCAAGGACATGCTTCAAGCCTCTCCAGATACAAGACCAGATATCATGCAGGCAAGGGCTTTGCTTGATTGGCCATTCATCTCACTCAGACTAGGTTAGTCCTAGATGTTTTGTCCCTAAGACAGTCTTAGAGTGCCTGTTCTAGTGAGAACTGGAAACCCAGGAGACTAGTTGTTTATGGGAAATTATACTATATACTACTTTCCAATGGATTGCATAAAAGTCATGACCATTCAATGGAATAATGGATGGTGATGGAGAGAGAGAGAGTGTCAACCCACTATTGGGGTCATGTCCTGTTCTGGTGGATCCCAATTCCATCACCATCCCTCATTTCACCAACCCAATGGACTATGTTTTCCCAGTCTCCATCGATGATTAGTATAATATCCCTTATTTCTATATCTCTGAGACTTGGTATATTTGCAACGATCTTGATGGGAACATATTGGATGCTGTGACAGGTTTGGTCACATGTTAACGAACAACTGCCAGTGGAATTGCAAAAGCAGGCACCAGAGAAGCCAGCATCAATGGCAGCATCTGAGGCACACATGTCATCTGTCAACGGCCAAAAGAAAGAAGGTATAATGGGATCAAAAAACTACTAAATAATGGGCAATACCTTTTATTTATAGCCCTGGAAGGTCTGGTCATCTCTCCAGTGCCTTTGATGTAACTATCATCCACCTAGTAACTTAAAAGAAGTGATAAATAAATGAAAAGAAATAGTCCATAGATGTGTACCTGTATGTTCATTATCAAAAAGAAGAAGAAAAGAAATAATCCATCATTTAGTTCTTTCTAGATTAAATGGTGAAAAGAAATAGTCCATAGATGTGTACCTGTGTGTTCATTATCAAAAAGAAGAAGAAAAGAAATAATACGTCATTTGGTTCTTTCTATAGTAAATGTGTGCCTGTTTGATTTTGTGAAATTCTAATTACTTCTTTATTTTTTATTTCTTGATCAATGTGGCCTCCTCCATGAATGACATGGTAATTTGTTGGGAATGGGAAAATATAAAACATCACAATATTGCCGAGTGTATTTTAAGGGAAGTTATTCTACTGGTGTATGGTTTCTTCTACACCAGGAGGGCATCCACTGTTTGTTCCCAATGACGTATGATGGAGATTTAGCTCATGTCGAGAAGCATATAGCTGTGTGGGGGAAGCGTCCATCTCCATTATCATCATCGGGAACTCCGACTGGATTTTCCCATTTTGTTCCATATACCAAAATGCCAGTTGTGTACAGTATGTGTTTCATATAATTTTCCAGTACATGTTTCATATAATTTTGGGAAAATTAGTTATCACCCCCTTGTCATACTTTCTTTAAACCACATCACTTACTCCAATGGCTTTTTATTTTTGCATTGGCCACCCCAATTAAGAAGGTAGCCTTTCTAAGATGAAAATACCAGTCGTGTATTAAAATAGTTTCCATTTAAACGTGAAATTTGAAATTTTAGAGAGAAAAACTATCTTAAAAGTTCTTGAGAGAAAAACTACCTCAATTTCAAACTTCTTAGAGATGAATTATCTCAAAATTTTTAGAAACCATCGCAAATTTTAATTTTTAGTGAGGAACCATCTCAAAGTTTTTGGAGGGAGAACTATTATTTAAAGCTGGTCAATAAATGAATAACTTGAAATTTGATATAATTTCTCTCTCTAAAACTTGAAATTTAAAATAGTTTCTCTCTCTAAACTTAAAAATTGAGATAGTTTCTCTGTAAAAATTTGACATTTAAGATAATTTCTTTAGCAAAGTCTAAACATTTTGAGATAGTTTCAAAAAAAACACATTCAAGAAAAAAAAACATTTTGAGATAGTTTCAAAAAACACATTTAAAAAAAAACATTTTAAGATAGTTTCTCTTTCGAAAATTTCAAGTTTTTAAGAGAGAAACTATCCTAAGTACAAGGGGTATTTTTGTCTTGAAAAAAAGCCACGTTTTTTTTTTTTTTTTTTTTTGCAACTGCACATTTTGGGGTGGACGTAAAAATAAAAATTGTTGGGGTTAGTGGTGTGGTTTAGAAAGTATTCAGGTGGGGCATGCTCAGAAAGTGTGGTCAAGGAGGATAACTATTAATTTTCCTACAATTTAATATACTAGTTATTTTCAGACCTTGGGCTGTATTTTGGCCTTCAAAAAGTTACAACAGTCTTATTATACTTTTGGAAATGCACTATGGGCCAGTTTGGATGGACCCTTAAGGTCATGAATTCCACTATTTTAACATACTATTGTGGGAAGTATTCCATCATTCTTGTTTTAAACTCCGTTTTAAGAAGCACTGGAAATAGTGGTCAAATCCAACTAGCCTCTGCAACCAAAGGAAAAATGGTTATGCTTTCACGCCTACATGGCCACCTAAAATTGCCCTATATTGCTTTTGGTATTGCACTTTACTGTGAAAGTTTACCACAGCGTGGTATTGGAGATTAACTGTGGTAACTGTAGTCAGATGAATGAATGTTTTGACATGGAGAACTGTGCTCTATCTCCACCATGCAGGCTGTGTTTTCTACACTCTTTCCCATTCTCCGCATGATTAGAACTGGTTTCAAACTGTTTTGTAGGTGTTAGCCCCCATTCAAGGAGGACTCATGTTATGCCTAGAAGGACTGCTCCTTCTCCACCCACACCTAAAGAACAAAACCATCGTTCCCCTTCCGTTCAAGTAGCCTCACAAGGCAGTGGAAGCTCGTTGGGTGCATTTTGGATGTCCCACCATGCCCAAACTGCTGCAGTTTCAGAGGATAAAGGCCCTGTATTTGATGAAGAATCCAAGCCCGAAACCTTTTCAAAACATAGCCCACCAAAAGATCATCAAAGACCAGGGCTTCATCTCAAGAGGAGTGGGCAAAACGTCATCAAGAGATTTGACGATGGCCCTTCAGAGGATTTTGAGATTAGGTTTTACTCGGAAGAAGCAGGCCCTGGCTCTTCTGAAAATTTGAGTAATACTACTGTGAAGTCATCGAACAATGAGGCTTCTGGGCTTTACAAGAATGAAGCTTTTGGTTCTTTTGTTACTGACTTTGATGGTCATAATGTTAAAGAGGATTCATCTTTGCAAGGGGAAGTGGAGAGGTTGAGGGAGCAGTTGAAGCAGGTTGTTGCAGAGAAGGCAGAGGTAGCATCAAAGTATGAGAAGCTCACAGCCATTTGCAGGTCTCAGAGACAGGAGATTCAAGAACTAAAACAAGCTATTGCAGCAGGGTCGAATAGAGATAATTCGAAAGTGGGTGCTAGCTCTCAGTCTCAGGCCCAGCAGAGCCATAAATCACCTGGAAGTTGGCAATCTGGTGCTCAGGTATGCAATGTTCTTTACTTGGAAGATTGGATTATCAATTAGCTGTCATTTGTAGTTGGCGGGGTTGGGGGTAGGTGGGCTGTGTTGAAGGTGATGACATTTTCTTTATTGTTCTTGAAATGTGATTCTCTGTCTGTCTCTCTCTCTGTGTGCGCGATTATCTGTGTGTGTGGAATCTCAGCACTGAACGCATTTGTCACTTTTTTTCTGGTTTTCCTTGACTGTAGAGGGATAAGATAGAAGGATCCATATGGGAACTCCAAGAAGGCATGCAGACGAACAATACCTCAAACATTTCCCCTGATTCAAAGCCATGGCAAGCTTTTACAGACACACCAGCAAAGATACAGCCTCCCCCATCTAAGAACAGCAACCCAAAGCAAACATCAACCAGGCCAACAAATGGCCACCAAACCAAGCAAACAGCGAGCTTGTACTCATCAGCTGATGCTTGGGGCTTTGGCCAAGATGGTTTCGTAGCAGCAAACAAGGATGGCCCTCATATAACCAAGACTTCAACCCAGGCCAGTATTTCTCAACGATTTGCGCCTCCAAATCCTCATATCGCTCAACCGAAAAGTATGGATGATAGCCGGACTCAGCCAGCCGGGTGGGCTGGCTTTTGAGCTTTAGTTATATTTGAAATTAAAGCAATGGGTCCAAGAGTGGAAGACCCATTTCACCAGATGATTATTTACTGCAAACTTTACAAGTTTTGAGGCTTCGTCTCAGGCTTTGGTTTTGTGACATTTTATGTAGAATTTGCGTATAAATTTTTGTTGTCATTGGGTTTTCCATTCTCTTTTTTGGTGTGGGTTTGAGAGAGAGAGGGAGAGTTGGTGATGAGGGTTTGACTTTTCTATGAAAAAGTTCTCTCTAGTTTTGGTTTGGAGCATTTTGAGGGGTGAGAAATTGTATAGTTGATGTGACTGGGGGGTGGATGGTTGCTTCAATGCCTTACTAATAAAATGATAAAGATTGGTAGAAGAGGCTCTTTCTCATTCTGTCTCTCTCTCGATAATAAATTTGTGCAAATGATTAACATCTCTACATATCTTAAATACGAAAAGGAAAATGGTTTGATAAGACTGCAGCCCGATCAAAAGAAGTAAATCCTCACCTCATAACTCAGCGAAAATTGCAAGTCGAGCACCGTAAACCTTACATTGATCATCTCCACTTGTACATTAAGGTTGTGAAAAAAATTAAGATTGCAAGCTCTAAAAATAGTATATGTTAAAACAAATTATTTAGATTGTCCATTTTGCCTTAAAAATAATTGTTCACATATATGCCAGATCTGTACTATTGTTTGAGTTTCAAATTTTATTATCAGTATTGGAAATTGAGATTTTTGTCGTCGAAAGTACTTTATGGGTAAAGATTTGTTATGAGGCTTTATTTTGTTTTTATAAAGCCTACGCCTTATAGAAACCTCATCCATAAGGCTGAACCCAGAAGTTCGACTCCCTTTGCTGAATCTTATCGCTTCCCCCATCACTTTGCTTATGTGTGTTTGATACTAGGAATTGCTCAAAACGGATTGGGATCAAGAGGTGGGCGATTTAGGTTGGAGAAGCATCAGAATTTACCGACTTCTCTTGGTTCTATATTTTTATTTTTTTGAGACCATATGCCCAAATTCAGGTGATCCAAATGGGAAGCAACAACCTGATTTGGATTTTTGGGTGACCAAGTTTCGTACCGGTTTCTACTTTTGGTCCGAGGAGGTTACAATCAATCATGGCCATAAAATGTGAAATCTAACTGCTTGGGATGTCACAAGGATTGATAAATTTTCTTTTAGACTTTCGCTTTACGGTATGGGATGCCATGAATTGCCTTATTTGGCCATGGTTGACTTCGACCTTGTATTGATGGTAAATACTCATATTATGGTTTGTATATAGTTTGATCATATATTTGTATTATAAGTAAATAATCTCAAATGGTGGCAATAGATAAGAGACGCTAAGGGATCAACCTATCCATAGAAAAATAGCAAGAAGAATTCACTTTCCAATATGACATTTCCTCCGGCACTCTGATGCAGCTGCTACGAAAGAACTCTTTAAGGAGTCTCAGCAGTTACTTGGAAGGACGGTAGAAAACAATTGCCTGGAGCAATGCCCCCATACCTAGCTCTCCTCCACCTGGATTCCACCACCTATGGGCATTCTTTTCCGCACCCTATAGTTACCCTTCTCCCCACCTCCAATCCTGTTCACTAGTTTTTTTGGGTAATTCAGTGGAGAAGATAGGCCCCTACCCTTTTTTTCAGATTGTTTCAGAGTTAGGTTTGTTTTTTGAAGGTGTTAATGAGGTAGTATAAGAGAGAAAAGAATCGACTACATGGTGACTAGGGTGTCGGGGTGCTACCGCCACGACCCCAGTCCCTTTCCCATTGCGACCTAAACAAGCTGGAACCTTAGCCCTATTGAGAGATCAGTCCATTTCATTAGGAAATTCAATTTGGGAAAAAAAAATTTAGCGCAAAGTGGCGCAGATGAAATCTCTTCACCCAGTAAGTCCCCATGACCGTGCCAAATCTCTCTCATTGAATCCCTAAGAATTCAGACCACTAAAACCCGACTTTAACGTCTGTCCAATGTTTCTTAACTGAACTCCAAGAGGAATTAAGCTACCGTAATTTCAGCTCCAACCTCTATATCCAATGTCTCTAAAACAAACTCCAGGAGCAACCAAGCTACTGTAATTTCAGCACAAACTTTAGATGATACCGTGTGCAGCCAAGACCTCGAATGGCTGGAACTCAAAATGTCCCCTTTTTTTTGAAAAAAAAAAAATGCTAAACAGGGTTTCACCATGTTTTGGAAGTTACAAGCGCGATGCACTATAGTGGCACCCTTAGCCAATGCATCTGCCTCTCCATTCCGCTCTCTATGGATATGACTAAACAGCACTTGACATCCTTGCTGAGCATACAGGATCTCATCTCCATCGTGTTTTCTCGTGTTGCATATACCAGTTGATAACATTCAAAGAATCTCCCTGTATCATCACCCTCAGTAAATTTCTTCCAATCTGACAGCTCCAAACTTAACTGCCCGCAGCTCAGCCTCATTGGCTGAACAAAGATGTAACCTGCCCTGATATGTCCATAAATTGTCCCCTTGACTGGAATTCAAGATATCATATTATAACATTAGGCCACCCTTGCCTGGAGTCCGTTCCATGTGGTCAAATATTCACAAAATAAAGAAAACCGCAACTCAAATTTACTCAAGAGAGAATTTTCTTAATTTGCCAAATAAAACCCACAACCAAAATAAAGGGAGTATCAACTCAAGCTTGATGAGCAAAAAAATTCATGGCCATCAAATCAATATGAATTTCTTATCATTTCCTTTTTAACTATTCTATATTGAATCAATGTCATGACAACACCAAGAAACTCATGACTCAAAAGCACGAGGTGAACAACACATTCATCACCACAAAACCCAGTAGGGAAAATCTAAGATAAATGCGTCTAAGACAACGGCTGTTTATTTACATCAAACTTACATTTATACCTCTTTTCTGTAACGACTGACAACTTTTTTTACTTCTTTCACTTTTTCCTCTTTTTTTTTTTTTCTTCGCCTCTTAGCAATTACCTCATGAAGAGCAAGAAAGCATGCAAACACCTGGCCGATAAGCCCATGCAGGGGGGAGGCGAGCGTACTTTTCCATCCCCTCTTGCTCATCGTAAGGCCTCTCCATCACTTTCAAGAGCCTTCGCACTTCACTATAGTCGCCTTGCTCAGCTGCATCTATGGCACTCTGACACAAGTAATTCCGTAAAATGTATTTAGGGTTCACGGAGTCCATTTGTGATTTTCTCTCTTCATCTGCCATGCCACTTTTGCTCAACTGTGTAAATACAAAGCAAATATTAACAATGACGATGATGTTAACTACCTAGTTTATGGATGACGATATGCCTAAGTATGATGCCCGATGCAATAAACAAGCAATAAATACTGAGATGAGAACCACCTTGAGCCTAAGTATGACCATGGTTGGTGATGATGAACATGACAACACTGGCAACTTGTGCCCAATTGTATAAAAGGTGGGCAATAATAATGAACGTAACAACCACAAGCATGATTATGACCAAGGTTGATGATGAGAAAAGAGCAGAACCCTGTAATGAGCATGATGAGATAAAACAATAAAAATGATGTTCCAGATGATGACAGCTGCAAGCATGACTATGACTACAGTAATAAGACGATGATAACCAAAGGTTATGATACACACAGCATCCCCAAATGCAACTATAAGGACAGGCAACCAATTTGCTGAGTTAATTAAGAAACTAACAGGCACTTGGGCAGAATGCAAAGCAACAGTTTTACGGGTAGAAACTAACAGCAATAACAAGAAACCTTTCTTTGTGCAAGTAGTTAGTTGCAATGGGGCCGGGTGGCCGGGCCCTAAAGAACTAGGGCCTAGGCCTAAAATGTGGCGCGAGGACCAGGCAAAGACAGGCCCGGTCTGGATTGGCTCAGCCTGGCCCTTATTTCTTTATCTTTTTTGCATGGTTTTTCTTTAGTTTCACCCGGCCGGGCCGGGCCCTGTTAGGGCTAGGGCTAGGGTCCGGCTTGGGCTGGCCCTCAGAGGAATAGGGCTGGGCAAAGTCCAGCACTGGCCCAGTCCAGCGCAGGCCCGTTGCCAGCCCTACAAGTAGTGATATCCTCCGATAAAGAAAGGGGTAGGATTACAAAAGGAAGCAACACCTGAACCCAGTACAAGGAATTTCAAATTTGTTGGGCCATCGGCCACCAAGTCCACTTCTCTCTTTCCAAGAAATACACCAGCTTCACTACCCATTTTACATGGGAATACATCAACTAATGGAATGTAGATATAAGTTTGTACTCTCAACAGAAAGACCAACAGAGAAAAGAACCATGCACATGGGCAAGCAAGTGCCATGACTAACTTCATTTTTCTTTTATTTGTAAATCAATGCATTCAAGGTAATTGAGCGAGTGGAACAGTGTTCTGCCGGTTTCCTCTTTCAAACAAGTGAAGTTAACAGCGAAGTGAAGTCAAACTGACAAAAAGACAACAACCATCCCTTTCAAGACCCATGATTTTTGAAGTATAAAAAAGTTGTAGTACCTCCAATATATATGATTGCACCCAGCTAATCCATGCTTCTTTACGCTCCCTGCCGATATCCAGCAAAACCGCCTTAAGTGGAACAAGCAGTTGATCTTCCGGAATGGTGAGATCAGCTTTGATATTTGAGAGGGAACGAAAGAAATTTGTGTAGTCAACTTTATCAACTGCCATGTTGTTGAGAAGCATGCTGATCAATGGCTTGTTATATTTGGGCAAGCCCAATTTCCTGGTCATTACAGACTGGTACTCATCCATGAACTTGGTGCCATATCTGTTGCAGTTAAAAGACAATGTACCCATCACAACATACCCTGGTAAATTTTGCCTTTTGAAGTTAGATACGATTTTAGTTTTAACCAATGTTTGAAAACCTTGATTGGTTGGTTAAATCAATCATCCTAGAAACCGGTCCAGATCAGCGAATTGGTGATCCAATTTGGTTGATCAGCCGATCCGGCTTTTAAAATTTTTCAAAAAATTGCTAAAATTTCTCAAAAATCTAATTTTTTTCAGGTTTCAAAAAAAAAATGGGGGTATTGCATTTGGTTTTACATTATTTTACCTAAAATGAATAAATACTAAGAACTTGTCTCATGTCTTGGGTGTTTGTGCTACATTCATTCACAGTCAAAATGAAGTTTTATATGCAACTCATTGCAATAAAATTGATCTAAAAGAGTATAAAATTATCCATAAATTATATGATTATCATGTATCAATATAGTGATTTGAAATTCGAGTTATTTCATAGAATGACACTCCTTATTGAGCTCTCTAACTACAACAAACTTTCCCTAAACAAGGAAATAGTTGTAAGTTATATAAGTTACCAATTTGTAAACAATGGAGTCTCAAGATTTTGCTATGTTTCCGGAGAGGGAATAAGTGATCGAGATTGATTTGGGTACAGCAAATGCTAATAAAAAGAAGTGTTTTATATTATCATAATTATAGCCTTTTTCCAATTAATTGGGGTCGGCTACACGAATCTTGATCCACTATTATGCTCTATTAAAGACCACACCCTTAGTGAGGCCATAAGTCCACATATCTTTTCGGACTACTTCCAACCACGTCCTTTGGGCCTACCCCTTGCCCTTTTCAATCCTCCACATGTACTAACTCGCACCTCTTAACAGGTGTTGTACTGAGTCGACACCACACATGGCCAGCCCATCTAAGTCTACTCCCCTCTCATCTTATCGCCTATTGGTGCCACACCTAAATTTTTTTCGAATAGCTTCATTTC